CGCCCACAACCCCCTCCCAGCCAGGGCTCTGCAGGACCGGCTGTCACCCCACTGGAAAGCCCTGGAAAGTTGAAGAGTACTGGGATTTGACCTTGAAGGGGAGGAACGTGGAGGGGACGGGAGGGTGAGCTGGGACTTGGCAAAGGGAAAGATATGCAGGAGTTGAAGCCGTGCCCGCCGCTGCTGGCAGAATCAGAGGCGTCTGGGCGGCTTGGAGAGACGAGGAAGCTGTGTGGCTTGGTAGGAGCTCTGGCCGGGCTTCTGTGGGTAAACCTTAAAGTATTTATTTTATTTTTTTATTGATTTCAGAGAGAGAGAGAGAGGGAGAGAGAGAGAGAGAGAGAAACATCAATGATGAGAGAGAATCATGGATCGGCTGCCTCCTGCACGCCCCACACTGGGGATGGAGCCTATAACCCGGGCATGTGCCCTGACCGGGAATCCAACTGTGATCTCCTGGGTCACAGGTCGATGCTCAACCACTGAGCCATGCTGACCGGCTGGGCGACCTTAAAATGTTTCTTAATGCAAAACCTCCAATTTCATATCCTCCCCCCATCACTCTAATTCCTTCTTTTCTTCCCTCCCTCCTTCCCTTCCTTCCTTTTCTTTCTTTCTTCCTCTCATAGTTTTCTGGGATCCAGTGGGAAAAAAACTGTGGCTGGCAGTCTCACCTCTTGGTCTGATCATGGTCACTCCTGCTATCTGCCCTCTCCTCCCCACCCCACACCCTGGCGACTCGATCCTCCAAGTCCCTAGGCCTTCCATTTTTCTAGTCCCTTCCCCAAACTCAGAGTTCTGAAAAGACCATTCTCGCCTGGCTGGTGTGGCTCAGTGGTTAAGCATCAATTTATGAACCAAGAAGTCACGTGGTTCAATTCCCGGTCAGGGCACATGCCCGGATTGCGGGCTCGATCCTCGGTGTGGGGCGTGCAGGAGGCAGCCGATCCATGGTTCTCCCTCATCATCGATGTTTCTCTCTCTCTCTCTCTCCCTCCCTTCCTCTCTGAAATCAATAAAAAAATATATATTTTTTAAAAGCCACGGAGAAAGTCAGCCCCACGCCGGCCTCGTGTCTGCCCGGGTGGACGCCCCCCTGCCCGGCCGGCAGAGCCTCTGAGTACACGGCTGGCTGGCTGGCGAGAGCAGGGGTTCGCACTCATTGTTGGGGGACGGGAAGAAAGGGCCGGCCCCCCGAGCAGGGTCAAGGGCGGGCTGTTTTGTTCTCTAGCAGCAAAACAGAGAGGCCACAGGAAACCACCCAGGCAACGAGCTCTGCGGAGGGCAAGTGAAGGCTGAGCCTGAAAACAAAAGTGGAGCGCGTCTCCTTGGAGCTGTTTATGTTACATAAGTCAAATAAACACAGGCAGGCGCGGACAGCCTCAGCCTCGGGGCGGGGAGGGGGGGGCGG